ATATTCTTAAATCAAGTCCTTTTAGGATGTAATTATGGTGATTGGCACATCAGTGGTTTTCATGATGGTAAAAAAATATGTCCTGTGAAAGAAATATTTCTGTCATTGGTGCAGATAGGCATTCCGTATGATGAAAAAAAAATGCTGGAAGAACCATTGCTGTTGGTACGGTATACATACATTTTTTTTGTTTTTGTTTTTGTTTTTTTTTACCACAATTACTGTGCTGGCTTGAAACTTCCGTCCGTCAAGCTATAAAGGGTTTTCCTTCGCCTCCCCAAAGAGATAGACAAACAACCATTGAAGGCCTCAACTAGTATACCTAGGATTCCAAGGGAACATGAAAAAGGCACAAATACAGCTCTGCAGACACACCATCTCCCTTCTTTGCAATGCATTTTGCAGACTCCCAGAGTGTATCTGTGCCTTGGGCAATACACAGAAGCAATCGTTTTCCTATATCTTATAGTAGTATATAACTCTCATGAAGTGTAGGTACATTCATATATATAAATACACTGCAAGTTCACCTGGTTCCTCTAATTCTTCAAAACAATAAAAAAAGAGAGTATCTTCCATAAACATCAAAGTTTTGTAATTATCCTTTTAAAATGAAATCTTCATAATTCTCTCGAAACAGATCTACACCCTAGGCTATCAATGAAATAGTCAACTAATATTCTTACTAATATTATGATTCTTTCTTATCAAAAACTGTAGGAGAGAAGAAAGGAAAATATTTTAATGTACATGTAAAACAGATGAGATCAGCCATTATAATCAGTGTTTTCAAAATAACTTTAAAAAATTAAAAATATCCAGTTAAAGGGAGCTACCAAGCAATGACTTAGTACTCTACAGACAAATACTATACTGTATGTGTGAGTGTGAGTGTGTGTGTGTGTGTGTAAATATAATATATATAGGCAAAATTACTACATCTGACCAGTTCAATATTCTTCAATCAAGTCCTTTTAGGATGTAATTATGGTGATTGGCACATCAGTGGTTTTCATGATGGTAAAAAAATATGTCCTGTGAAAGAAATATTTCTGTCATTGGTGCAGATAGGCATTCCGTATGATGAAAAAAAAATGCTGGAAGAACCATTGCTGTTGGTACGGTATACATACATTTTTTTTGTTTTTGTTTTTTTTTACCACAATTACTGTGCTGGCTTGAAACTTCCGTCCGTCAAGCTATAAAGGGTTTTCCTTCGCCTCCCCAAAGAGATAGACAAACAACCATTGAAGGCCTCAACTAGTATACCTAGGATTCCAAGGGAACATGAAAAAGGCACAAATACAGCTCTGCAGACACACCATCTCCCTTCTTTGCAATGCATTTTGCAGACTCCCAGAGTGTATCTGTGCCTTGGGCAATACACAGAAGCAATCGTTTTCCTATATCTTATAGTAGTATATAACTCTCATGAAGTGTAGGTACATTCATATATATAAATACACTGCAAGTTCACCTGGTTCCTCTAATTCTTCAAAACAATAAAAAAAGAGAGTATCTTCCATAAACATCAAAGTTTTGTAATTATCCTTTTAAAATGAAATCTTCATAATTCTCTCGAAACAGATCTACACCCTAGGCTATCAATGAAATAGTCAACTAATATTCTTACTAATATTATGATTCTTTCTTATCAAAAACTGTAGGAGAGAAGAAAGGAAAATATTTTAATGTACATGTAAAACAGATGAGATCAGCCATTATAATCAGTGTTTTCAAAATAACTTTAAAAAAATTAAAAATATCCAGTTAAAGGGAGCTACCAAGCAATGACTTAGTACTCTACAGACAAATACTATACTGTATGTACTGGACTTGATATTGTGTATGTGTGTGTGTGTGTTAGTTTTTGCAGTGGGATTAGGGAGTACCAATGACATGTACACACACACATGCACATATACAGATAGAGAGACACATGTATGCATGCACTGTAGAAGTGTGATTCTTATACTGAGCATGAATGTGTGTAGTGTCTGCATAAATACATGTGAAAATATATATGCAATTTTGAATGTGTTATGTGTTAAAAGGTAGAGAAAAGAATCATATACCATGAATATGCACAAAGTGCCAACATACCTAACAGTTTGAGTACATGTAGGCATTTAAAGATAAAGAATTACCACACACACTCACTCACTCACTCACTCTCTTTCTCTCTCACAATCATAGTCTAAACAGGCTTTCAGTACCATTAATGTTGACAGTTTTACTGCATAGAGCGAGTTAAAATATTTATCCTTTTGACATCATTGAAGACAGCACATACCAAAAGCACATATGAATGTTATCATTACTGATATGCAAGTTGCAAGCATTCCACACATCAACATACATAGTCTTGGTTGCATCTTTCCTTGAATTTGTTAAAATATCTGAGTAGTTGTGATCCTTCAACCTGTATAATGACATGTCCAAAATACAATTGTGACATTTCCTATTATTCAACAGTACTGATTTGTGCATTATATACATATAATCTTTGAGGTTTCTTAGAACTGTTTTAAAGCTACCTTGGTGATGCTCGAGAGAGAGGATAATTCCATGTGTGTGGTGTACTCATCAACTGAAAAGAAAGATGCACTTGGTTCAGACAAGTCCTAGGCCGAGCTTGGCTTTATTCTTTTCTTCTCTCCTTTCTTATGTAGTGCCATCTGCTTTGAAGAGAGTAAACTGAGAGAAGTACTGACTTTCACTGTTTGTACTAACCCTCCTTGATATTAAGTACACTGTAAAAATAAACTCTTTGAAGTTCTGAAGCCAATGTACTTATCACCATACATTCTATAATACATCCATTGTAATTCTTTGAGACTGTTTCAAAATCTAATTTTGACACAATTCCCGAGATGCAATAATGAATTTGCTTTTCGTTACAACCACAACAACGAAAAGTTTTTCTCTCAGTGTTTATTCTTCCTCCTCCTTCACCCACGTAGTTCACACCACAAGATGCAAGTGTTGGCTCTTCTAAACTATTTGGATTCATGCTATACCCTTGTGACTCTTGAGTTCTTCTGATGCATCTTTTTTCCACAAAAGATCATTAATTTATCTACTGAGGAAGAAAGAGATAAAAAGGGGAAAAAAAAAAAAAATTAAAAGTAGAAATTCATACTCTATTCCCCCCCTGATACGAGGTATTTCAGTCCCTCAGTAGAACTAGTTCAAGTCATAATAAATGTTTATTATGTGATTCACTAAAAATAGGAAAGTGACACCGTAATGTCATGGAAAGCTGGGGCTCTTGGGACGTCCCCTCCTCATGGTAAACAGGTATAAAACAATCTTTTTTTTTTGAGATTAAAAGTACGTTCTCGTATATCACTTGAGATCACTCTATACCAGAAAGCTGCTCACTCATTCTCTCTTCCTCTATCCAGCCAGTTATCCAAAATGCCTCTCTAGACAACCTATTGTGACTGAATAGACGACCTTCAATGTGCATCCACCTTCTGGTGCTTGCTTCCTACATGCTGGATGGATGACATTTAACAACTCTGTGAATTGTACTAGCCACCAGCAAGGGCTTTACTTGGTATGGAATTCTCGGAGGCAGAGGTAGCACGACCATTCACCCTCTGGGGGTTCTGACAGGGGTGGGGTGAGGCAGTAAAGGTGATAACCACGGTCACAGTCATCACAGAACAAGAGTTGATCCTGTGGGGAGGGAAGAGAGAGGATTCCACTGAACGGTTAATAGGCTTATATACATGTATATTAAACATAAATACATACATAACTACACACAGAGACAAACACACACACAAATAACTAAACTAAAACATACAACAATTTTTTTCTAAACAAATAAAAAATAAAATACTAAACAATAACACAGAAAAATGACAATAAAAAATAAAAGGAAAAATAGAACAGGAACAACAACGATCTAAAATTGTTAAGAAATAACAGCTATGAAGACTTACATCATTCTCAGAAGTGCCACATATATATACATATATATATATATAGATATATATATATATACATATATATATATATATCTATATATATATATATCTATATATATATATATCTATATATATATATATCTATATATATATATATGTATATATATATATATCTATATATATATATATATACATATATATATATATATATACATATATATATATATAGATATATATATATATAGATATATATATATATATACATATATATATATATATACATATATATATATATAGATATATATATATATAGATATATATATATATACATATATATATATATACATATATATATATATAGATATATATATATATATAGATATATATATATATAGATATATATATATATACATATATATATATATAGATATATATATATATAGATATATATATATATAGATATATATATATATAGATATATATATATATACATATATATATATATACATATATATATATATATACATATATATATAGTGCACGTCTTACACTCAATACACTGCCACCTGTACTTTACAACGCTCTTCATCATGTTAGAAGTAAACTGAAGACATGTTGGGTGACCTGTTGAGAGTGAAATCATCAAGTTTATGAACAATTAACCTATTTGTAAAAGAAAGAAAGAAAAACAGAAAAAAGTATGTGCATATATATATATATATATATATGTATATATATATATGTATATATGTATATATATATGTATATATATATATATATATATATATATATATATATATATATATATATATATATATATATATATATATATACATATATATATATACACATATACATATATAAAAGGCTAATGGCAGGGGTGATTGGAGCAATCCATCATGAGAAATTTGGGTGAAGGCCAGGGTGAAAGGAATTACTCATCATGATTGCAAAAAGCATGGAATGTGACCAGACTTTGTGGATATTTAATAAGGGGCTCTTGTATTATTTCCACTGATAAACAAGTGTGGAATGTACCATACATGAGCCATGACTGGGAGAGAGCTGGCTCCAGAAAGGAGGCCATTTCCATGTTCAGGATCCTATAGTAGAAGAAAAAGAAGAAAAAAAAAAAAACCATGAAATGTTACTAATTGTTATTATTGTAATTATGGACTACGAGAGAGATGATATGGAGTCTATTATCATCTAGAAACAGCACATAAAATGACAAATATAGACATTGGAAAAGGACAAAAAAGCTTAAAACCCTTTATGCAAATAGAGATAAAGAAGAAATAACATTGCAAAGGGGAGCCATGGAGTCTTATTACTCCACATGAGCCTATTACCCAGATTTTGGCCTATGTGCAGTCAGTAAAGCACCTGGATATAAAGAGTTAAGGGATCAATCCCTCAAAATGGCAAAATGAGGCAGGATAAAATTGATAAATAATAATTATACTACTACTAATAATAATCATAATAATAATAATAATGATAACAACATCAAAAAATCTTTGATATTCTGCATCCTTTGGTACTAAATTTATGGGGGTTCTCTCAAGGGGTCAATGTACCAACAGTTTTCCTTTTTCCCTATTCTGTCCACCCCCCCATGTTTCTTGCATACCGCTCTGTGTATTTTATGATGAAAAAAATCTGAATAGAATCCATAGTCAATGGTACTCTGATTTGTATATACAAACGTGTGGTTTCTATTTGTGAGAAGACGACTCCCTATTGCTCATGCATTGTTACTGAAACCTAAATGTACAGTTATAATGAATGTGTCAAAGTCAGATCGTATCTATGAAGGAAATTAGAAATTTTAAATCTATTTTTTCTTATATTTTTTATGCCATAAATCCTTCATAACAGGATGGATCTATCATAGCAAGACACGTTTGTCCTCCTGTGATAAATTTCAATTGGTAATGGCAAAATATGTATCATCTCTCCAGTAACACCTTAGTACAGAAGGGTCAAACTTACCGAAATTGGAAACTGGGCATTTCAGGATTATGCCCTTGCTACACTGCCTATTCTTTTCTTCATCCTAATTCTACTTCTTTTTTTAAGTATCTGAAATTAGGTATGGAAAATGTTCAAGCCCCCTGACCCAAGGTCCCCCTTCAAACTCAGGGACATCCCCCTTAACCTGTTAAGCGATGGATCACATGTACAAGCATCATAACACAGCGCTTGGTCTGCAGGGTACAGCTGTACACGTGGTAACGAGCCAGAGCAAGTGGAGCAGGAAGTTCTGCTACTTGTAGTGGACTCCCGCGCCCGGTGTCTGGATGTTGCCAGAAATCACCAGAGTTTATGAAGTTCAGGGATTCCTGATACCCGGTGGAATTGGGTTAATACCAAGATATCTCAAAAAGGCAAAGAGGAGTCATCTATTCACACCAACTAACCCCACACACACCAAACAAACCCCTTGTAACCAACAGTCCAAATGTATCCCCTGTAAGCTCTTACCTGAACGACCACAATCTGCGCACGACACCAAACTCTCAGGCGCCCCGGTCTTCTTATTCTCCGATGCATCGCCGAGGCAGAAGTCACAGTAGGGAGAAGCTGACACTTTCTTCTTCCCCTTGTCGCCACCCACCTCCGCTGTGGGGGAAATGCCTGAGGGCAGTCCTGGTCCTGCGTTTGACTGGCCGACAGCACCTGAACGCCGGCCAGACGTGCGACCTGGGGTAGTCAGGCAACGTGATGGGTGAGGGTTAGGGGCCTAGGGTGCTTGTTCTATGAAATGATGGGCTTTTAAGCTCCATTCTTTCCTGAACTCTTCTTGAGAACAAACTGCATGACTGATGGTTAACAAAATCTCATCAAATTATTTCTTTTCTTCATTAAACAACTTAACACATGAAACTGTTAGCAAGTGCAAGCTGGTGAGACACTGAAATCATGAAATATTCATATATACACATCATTCCGTGTGAGTAAGGAAAGTAAACCAAATGACATAAACTCACAACTTATCTACATACAACTATATTTCAGAA